GCTGCAGCTATATTAGTTGTATAGTTGTAGTACGAATTTGTCAACTCAAACGGGGAGGGATCATGCTCTCATAGAATACCAGCGGAAAATAGCAGCTTAATGCTGCTGTATTTTGTATGGTGAGAGTAGAGAACTGAAGACCCTTTTAACTGGAAAAGGGGCATTCCATCTTAGTCCTCACGGCTGACAACGCATCTGCGTTTAATTCGCAAACTAGGATATAGATGTCTATGGGCCGCAACAACCACTTACCATCAAGTGGACTGAGTGCTCGCTTGTCACTGTGTGCATGCTTGTGCGTTTTTTATAAAAAAAACGTGTCTACGAAATATTTTTATTCCTCGTATAAATGAGTTGCCTCACAATATTAATCAGTTTTATTGGTGCCGGCGGCGAACCGTGTAATGTCGGTGTAAGAATATCAGCTGCCCCAAATCGTCCCGTGGGTGTCGTAAGAGGCCACAGAGGAAAACTGAAACCGGAGCAGCAGCATCTTTCTTATAACAGCTCTAAATAATATAAAACTGTGGTTGCCAACCTGTAAAGCCATGCCAAGCGTGGCAATTATGGCAAAAGCCTCTCAATGAAGCGACCTTTTGTCAAGGCCTATAGCAGCAAATTTTTATAGGCTGTTATGAATAAATGGTGCTGCCGGGGATCGAACCCTCGCTGCTCGTGTCCTATGACATTTATGGCGAGCGCATAGCCCATGAGCTAATACTACAATATCAAGAGGCATGGCTCCTTTAATGTCGCTTAATATAATATATTCTTATTCATTTTAGCCACTAAGTAGCAGTCTACCTACTGCTGTAATCTAATCTGGTTTGAATTGTATGAGAGCCAATACAATTAAATGCTGTGAGGAATTTTGATCTTCATCTTCAGGTGTGATTTCATAACCATTATTAAACTAGAGGAGGTCTGTGCCCATTGGTGGGACATGTTAAATCTGACTACTTCAGGGGTAACTGCATCTGTTCCTTTCTGTGTATTAAGATGGTTGCAAGTGGCCATATTAGCCACTTACTATCAGGGTGACTGTTTGCTCTTACGCAGAAAAAGAAATACAACACTGTCGGAGGGTAGTTTGACGTTTTTCTTCTGCTATCTATTTTATTCATTTTATTCTTTATTGCATCAAAAAGCTGTACATAAGTCAAGCTTATTGCTATTTGTGTAATGAATTGGGTTGAATATTATATATGTACAAGTATGTGTTTTAATGTTTGAGAAGGAAGCCGATCTGAGGATTTAGTTAGGCTGGGAAGCATTTAGAAAGGTCTGCCGCATTTTCTCGTCGCTAATACTATAAAACCTGTAAACAAAAGTCTTCAATTAGTGCATTTTCACCGTACTCACTTATGATGTAGAAACGTCGACACTGACGATACGGCTACTCTACAAGCTGAAATTCGCTCAGCGAGCGATGGAAAGAGCTATGCTCAGAGTATCTCTGGTAGATGAAAATCGTAATGAATAAATACGCCGGGGAACCAAGATTACTGACATAGAATTCTGTGTTTGCAAACTGAAGTGGCAATGGTCGCGGAAGTGACAACTGGTGGAGTAGACGTGTTATGGAGTTGAGACCGCGTTTAGGCAAACGTATTTTGGGATGCCCCCTGACCAGATAGAGCGACGATCTGCGCAAGGTAGACACTGGATGCGTGTAGCTGAAGATCGGGCTAAATGGCGCGCCTTGGGGAGACATGGACAGCTCCCGTTGTAGACAAGATTTGTCTTAATCGTCACGCTTCGAGGTGGATTGAAGATCACTGTACTATATGCTTCGCAGCAGTAGACTGCCTGATGATGATGTTTTAATGTTTGCGTATACTGTATCTCCTTTTGTTTATATAAATGCTCAAGTGCAGCTTTTATGTATTGCAGCTTCACAGCTGCGGGTCGACTGCAATGTCGCATTGACGCGGTGGCGGGTTGCGTGGTGACGGGCGCTGGCCGGGGCGCCGATGCCGACAGGTCGCATCTCTACCAGGCGACCATTCGCGAGGGAGACTTGCTACTGAACAGAGTCAAGAAACTCGCTAGTGTTATTAATTTTTAAATTTTGTAAACGCACCTAGCTGTAATATAAAGAAAAATTGCCACAAACGAAAACTTGTCTTTGGTCGCCTTTTTACATTATTCATCAAATTCTTTTAGATTACTTCCCCTGTTTCAAAAACATTGTATTTTATTTAATTATTGTATGTATGGCAGGCTATTTTGAAATTTTGTATTCAGGAGTGACAACATCAAATAGCCGTGTGCCTTTTTATGGAGGTAGTAAGTTTGTTCGTAATCTTATATTTTTTTATGTCCGTAGTTTTGATTGGCAATAGATAGTTCTACAATTTTAATTGTAATTTCGGTTTTCATAGCGATTGAAATTCTATTAAATTCAGCTTTTGTTTATTTAATTTGTTGCATTTTAGTTATAGTAACATAAATTACCGAAAAATTTTCATATTCTGTTTTAATTGCAAGTCATATTAATACTACTGCGAGTAATTTACTTAATAGATCTACTACTTTAGTATTTTTGTAACCAATCCTGCTTATTAAATAAATAAATACCTGTAGTTAAAATTGTCGTTTTACTATCTTTTCAAAATATAAAATTATTCAGGTTTGTAATTTGTTAAGTGTTCTGTAGATGACTATAGCCTACCTTAGACGAGTTTAATATGTTTACGTTAAGCTTTGCTGTCCTATAACACCAAAACTAAGAGGAGGACAGAGTCAAAAACACAACGTCTTATACTGTAACTAAAATATTAAGAAAAAACAAACAAGCTTTGGCAATTATCAAAAACACTTCGAAAAATCAACTTAAAAAATCTAACTACACCATACTAAAATCGACTAAAAATATTAGTATATTGTCAACTGTCAAAATGACGTCGATAAAGGTCTTTTGACCCTTTATTATTTAATTGTTCGATGAAGAGTTATCGTATCACCTATCATCTATGCAAACAAGGCTGTAGTTTTTACGTTATAAGAAAGTGATCATAGTAACCTCACGTACTATATTTAATTTATGCGTGATGATAATGTTCTCTTCATCGATTTCGATTATATCCATAACTTCCGAATACTGTCGGAAACTATAATAACGCAGTAGCTCACTTAACCTAACCTAACCGTGCCCAACGTAACATTTATGTTATATGATTTGAGGTAGAGTAGGTGTAAAATAAGAACCTTACAATCACTACATATCCTCGCAAATCGTCTATGTTATTGCACAAATATTGGCCCTGTCTGAGATTTGAATCCTACATGGATTCAAATCTACGTTGTAGCTAAGTAAACTGTTCTTAAAGATGGAATGCGTAGTAGGTTTTAAGCAAAGTACGCTGATTTTACTTAAAGAATACATGTTATAGAGGGTTTTATAATGATGAAAACGTTTAAAATAAAAAGGAAATTAAGGTAAAGGATAACAAAAAAGAAAAGAATTATTAGTATAATTGTTTTTTTAAATAATTTGAATACTTTTTGGACATTTACATAAACATTTAATAATTTACAATGATTATTTATAACGACATGACTCGACACATCATATTCATGACTAATACTAGGCTATGTCTATTTGCAACTTGTAAATTAATAACTTGTAGGTGCTATGAGAATTTAATCTAAACAACTAAATTGTTGCGTGCGGCCTATCGCCCCACAAGCGTTCCTTTAATACTAAGAGTGTATGCATGATTTATGATTTAATAAATAATTTATAAGGACATTTATACACAGATGCCTAAGAGTTTTATAATATAAAACATTCATTTTTTTATTCGTTCTGATTCTGAATGAACTAAAGTGAGTATAAACTTAGCAATTATATCATCGACAATGAATATCCATAAGCATCGATAAAATACACATTTGAAAATAAATATTCGTCGGGAACAATTTTATGGTTCAGTCTGTTGTCAATGCTGGCAAATTTTTAAGGGTAAGTATATATAAATAAATGTATTAAGTCTGTCATCAACCAGTCGCTCATATTTTTTTACAAAGATATGTTGAAGTATTCTAAAGCATATAATAGCTATGACTCTAAATACTTATGACTATGTAGACCTCAAATGCAAATACTTTTTTAATTTACATGATATGAATATGTCATTAACCTCTGTTACAATAATTAAAAATAGTTGAATATCTAGTGACAATAGTTTAATATCCACACATTAAATCACCTTGTTCGACATCGAATCCAAAAGTATACATTTTAAAATAGAAATTGTAATTAAAAAAGAAGTTATATGAGAAATTTTATACATTTCTTTTCATAATCTGTTGCGATTGGAGCTAATTTGTTACGGTGGAATGTGGTATAAGATGGAAATCATGCATAGCGCACTCCAGTTGCAATGTATAAATATAAAATTAAGTAATTTTTTATCCAGTAATTTATCTATTCGTTCATTAACTTTCACTACTATCATACATTATATGTACATTTAAAGTTAGATAGATTTATGAAATTAATTTTTGGGATAATTTATAATTACTTTTGATGTTATAGCACACAGGGCTGCATTCGCTATGAATATAACATACTTATTCCTTGACGTATTCGGTCTCTTAAATGCAGCCATTGTGTGTGCGATATCACAGAGTAATGACATAAACGTGGGACTCACGCGAGCCCCCAATTGCCCCAGGCCCGTACTCGTGCGTATAAGTTACTTACATTAATACTAGGCGTTATAACACGTGGAATAACAACTCGTTATATGGCGCTACATTTAGCACTTCTTACGCTATTAACTGACACTCCTTTCGTCGTATCATTATCAGTCCTTGATTTCACTACTAAGTATATTTTTGTACATAATTATGAAAACGTTCACTGTGTGCTTTGGCGACGCACTCGCGGATGGTGTCCTTATCCTCGCACTACTCGACTTCAATAATGTCGATTAGATAGATATGACGTTGGATTTTAATGGAATGTGTAAAATATTTCGAATCTATTATGGTTAGACGGTTAGGCCTTCAGTCCTGGCTGGGGGTGGAAGCGAGGCTAGGGAGTGGGGGAGTGGATGGTGAGGGGTAGGTGGAGAGGGCTGTGCGGAGGGTGGCTGATGGGGCGCGAGAGCTGGTGGTGAGCGATAGTGTTCGCTGTCCTCGCGCATTTGGCGACTTCGCTCGGCGAGTTCCCGGCCGCGTTCTGCTAGTTCTCGCATTGCCGCTTGTCTCTCATCGCCACCGTCTAAAGACGGCGGCCGTTCAAGCGGCGACGCTGCGCCAGGCCGACCTGCGCCAAACGCACCAAAACCGAGCAGTCCCGGGAACTTGCCTGCCACACCGTTCTGCCCGGCGCTCTGCTGTATCACTGATATCTCATTCAGCTGTAACCAATAAAAGCGATCAGTGTTATATGGATCAAATTTTAATTATTTTTATCTATTCACTTTTTATTTTTATCTATTATATCTTTCACTTTTCATTTATAAATATATAAGTTATAGGTATTATAAAAGTAATAACGTAAAAACAGCTTATATAATACATATCACTGCTATGCATGGGAGTCATATTTTTAAAGAAGTACTAACACCTGATCTTGCGTGGTTTCTTTGCAAAGATAAAGTGACATGCAAGAAGCCTTTCTGATTTCGTTTGTTATATCACAGTCAAAAACTATACTATAATGTGGTTGTTAATGTGGTTACTTATGTTTATTTTATGTTAATATTATGGCCAGCTTATATAATACACATCACTGCTATGCATGGGAGTCATATTTTTAAAGAAGTACTAACACCTGATCTTGCGTGGTTTCTTTGCAAAGATAAAGTGACATGCAAGAAGCCTTTCTGATTTCGTTTGTTATATCACAGTCAAAAACTATACTATAATGTGGTTGTTAATGTGGTTACTTATGTTTATTTTATGTTAATATTATGGCCAGCTTATATAATACATATCACTGCTATGCATGGGAGTCATATTTTTAAAGAAGTACTAACACCTGATCTTGCGTGGTTTCTTTGCAAAGATAAAGTGACATGCAAGAAGCCTTTCTGATTTCGTTTTTTATATCACAGTCAAAAACTATACTATAATGTGGTTGTTAATGTGGTTACTTATGTTTATTTTATGTTAATATTATGGCCACTATTTTAGGCCAGTAAAATTTCATGGCTTCCGATAGACGATACAGTATAAAATATACGACTCACTCTCAAAGAATGTCAGCGTAAAATATCGCTCTATGCGAGAACAGGAGACCCTGTTTGCTGTAAAAGAGGCATTCCATCTTAGCCATCAGGGGTATAACATCTGCGTTTTGTTTATTAACTAAGGATAAATATAGATGTCTATGGGCCACAGCATCCACCTACTATCTGGTGGGACTGTACGCCCGTTTGTCATCCTTATAAAAAATATTAAGTTATCGCCACCGGCGATAGAAACGGCCTCAAAGGAGCAAGACATTTGATACTGCGATCGCCAATACATCTGTCATGCGTGCAAATTATGTTCAACCACGTAGGTACTGTTGCGGACTGATAACGTAAAAGAAGAAAGATTAAGAGTGACGGTTATCGGTTTGTGTTTCGTACCTTTTGCTGCATGCCATTAAGGAAGGGCGCGTGTAAGTAGGGGTAGAAGAGATCAGGTCGCCGGAGCAGGTCGTGCGGTTCGTGTAGGGGGCGTGGCGGCAACTCGAGCGACATTCGACGCCCGCGTCTCGAGGCTCCACCGCTCCACATATGCGTCCCCATGTGCACCTGCCAGGTTATTACGTAATTAGTGTCTTACGTCGCTAGTTTGACTGTACTGTTTTCAAAGCTTCATTATAAAATACCGCCGTTGAGAAAAGGAATTAGAACTTTAAGCTAGAAAATAAGCATATTTACATATTATGTGGGAGAGCCATGCTACAATTTTATGACTGCAGTATGAATAGGTTAGCTTATTTAGGGTAGGGTCACACTCTCACAATACCAGCGTATAGAACCGGATACCCATTTTACTCGTAACGAGGCATTTGATATTAGTCCTCAGGGGTGACAACGCATACGCATTTTATTTCTTAATCGAGGATTGATGTTGATGTCGTTAGGCTGCAGTATCCATTTAGCCTGAGTTGATATGTGTGCATCTTTGTCACCCTTATGTTATTGAAATCAGGTAAAAACTTCTTATGTTGATTATTATTTCTAATCATCGGATTTGATTGAAATTTATATAGAGGCGCTTAATTTATTTTTTATTTATTATTTTATTTCAAATAACATAAGATCCGTATCATTAAAATTGATTGATTTAATAATATTAATTAATTGATAATAAATAATAATGATATGTCATTAAAATACAATAACTAACATATAAACACAATAATAACTAACACATAATTATTATTTAGTATCTTCTCACTCCCACAATTGCTGGGACATGTTTGTCGCAGCAATGCCGGAGGATAGGACAGTCCAGTCTGTCTCCTATCATTTTCAGAATAATATTGGAGCTGGCCCGCACTCTGCGCACCAGTGACGCGCACCGCTTACGCATGGTCGCGTGAAAATAGGCAGTGCGCGCCTCCGCAAACATAATTAACTCTTAAAATAAAATAAAATTTTGTAATTCTTGTATTAATCATTAGTAATTGTATGATAATTGAATACCTTAAGATTTCCTTTTGTGGTGAAAGCTTTTTGGCAGACAGCGCAGCGAAAGGGTTTGTCGCCCGTGTGAGTGCGCATGTGGATTTGGAGCGCGGACGACGATGAGAAGTTTTTGCGGCATACTCCGCATAAGTGTTTCGAGGACGCTGATGGTGGTTGGTGGGTTGGAGTACTTGGTACTGTAAACAATGAGATCATTTTTAGTACGGATAGATACTATGAAATTATCTTTCCATTTTATTTTTAAACATTTTTAAATAAATGGAAGGCGTGTAGAATTGTCATAATATGTAAAATTTATTAATAACGCCTTGTTTTTATTCAATACCGTGAATTAATTCAGTATTTTAAGGGTTTAGCTGTAATGACTCGGCCACACTATGCGCTGTTCATCTCTGCTCCTCGCGCCACCGCGATGTTGCCCTGTCTGTCCACACACTGCTCTACTCGCGCAATTAATTGCGACGCTTCGCACTAGGTTGCTCGCGTTTCCAACAGAATGTATGTTAAAACTGTTGCAGCGTGCAAGTTATGCATATTTATTATAGTTAATTATATTATAAATAGTGTACCTATCATCATCATTCAGCCACGTGATTTAATAATATACAGAGAAAAAGCTATTTCAACGACGAAAACGTATATTAATTTTTACGACATTAATATAATTAGCCATAATAAATATGCATAGTTCGCACGCTGCAACAGTTCCAACGTCCATTGTGTTGGAAACCCGAGCGACCTAGTGAGGAGCGTCGTGATTAATAGTAGAGCGCGAGTAGAGCAGTGCAGTGCAGTGTGTGGACAGACAGGACAACATCGCGGCAGTGTGAGGGTCGTAGTGTGGCAGAGTCATTACAATTTCGATTAGTCCATTTGTCTTGACGCGTCGCAGAATTTTAACTAGAATTTTAACCTATTTCATCCTTTGATTACAATTGAGATAAGTAAAATTACAATTTGTAATGTATGAAAGGTCATTTAAATAATTATTATATGAATATAAAAAACCAGTTTTAGTTACTTCGCTTAATTTTCAAAATATCAGGCTTCAAAATAACCTACAAAGTGTCTGTTGACCTCAACTATTTTAATAATGCAATAAGTTAAAATATGGAAAGAAATTGAAAAACAGTACCTATAATACATCATTCTTTTCAAAAAATTATAATGAATACTGTATTAGTATGCTTTGCACAGCGGTACTTAATTTTACGCCTGGTTGCAAAATGTTCTCGGCAATTATGAATTTAAGCGTTATTTAAAGCGAAGGTAATAAAAGAAAGCAAACAAATGCTTAGTAAATACAAGAACCCAACTGCAATGATATATTATTTACTAAATAAAACCGCGTTCGTTAGAATGCGCTTCAACCAAATATCAAGTTTTGGAACGTCGTATTGGTATTTACCATAAAACCTCTTAATATAAAACTCCTCAAGTCGTTCAGATTCAGGTTTTTATTCGACCTCCTACAACATAAGACATAGATACACTGAAAAAACATAACCCGAGATTGGTTAGTATCGGGTAAAAAGTAAAAATATTAAAGGAAGAAGGGAAAAAATATAAGGGCGCTGACATGACAGATTAAACCGTTTTACATACATTGCATACCCTCCTTGTAAGCACTTGCAAAAAATCATTTAATTAGACACTTTCATGGTATGGTACTTAAACAGGTCTTCAAATAAAGCGAGGTGCCATTCTGGTTCAAGATAATTTTGGACTTACCGGTCGGTCGTTTCGGCAGTGGTGGCATGTCGATCGGCGGAGCGTGTGTCATAGGTGGAGGCGGATGAGCGGGTGGAGACCTTTTGAGGTCCATCTTGTCAGGGGACGAGCGTCTGTCCGGACTAGGCTCACGAGATTCTTCGTTTGGTCCCATTGATCCATTACCCCCTTTATCGAAGCCGGGAGGCATGTCGCGTATTTTATGCGTCAGCATGTGTTGCTTCATATTTCCCTGTATAAATTATAATTATAACATTAATTTGAATGAATTGCGTATGCAAAATGTTTAAAGTTGTATAAGTAAGATTCTTTATTCATAAATGATATTGATATGAATATTATTAATTGCTAAAGAAACACTCTACGATTCAAAATAATCTATTTGTTAGTCTGGCTGTTATTAATGGTTTGCGAAAGTCTAATAAACAATAAAGAAACAATAATTAACAAGAGAAAGATATGACAGATGGAAAGAATTGTATAGCAGTATGTAGGTAGATACAGTCTCAGTTAAGATGGTGTTTCAATTATGACTACAAGAATGTAAAGTGGATCGGCTAAGTATCGATTTTGTTTTGTTACGTATGGTACCCGTAATTGCACAATAATCAATTGATTTGGCAGTCTAAAAGTCCCGTAGAAACCAAGCTTGTGGAATTGTGTACAAAGAAGCTTGCGGTAATTCGACTGAACAATATAAAAGAATGTAGAGATTTCCTTCTTTGTGTCTGTTTATAAACTTTATTAGAAATTTAAATTTAAATATAAGACAAAATCTCTTCAGCCGTCCACTATTTAGATTCATGTGTATGTGTGAGTGTGAGTTCACGCCCAGGCGTCGCTCTAGCATACCGGATAGACGAAGGCGTTCCAGAGATCCAAAGCAGTGGCGTGCGGCGGGCGGGGTGCGCGCGCGCGCCTACCGCACTGGCAACCGCCGCCACTGCTCTGGAACCACAAAAACGCGAAAGCTTTACACACGCACCACGCACACACACCGTACTTCACAAGTGGTGTTTGTGTTCGGCGTTATAGTGAACTGTTAACAATATGTCACATAGAATACGTATATTTTATAACTGAGATGAGATAAACACTAATATGATAAACCCATTGCAGTTATTAAAATTAATTGTAAATAAGGTGATTTTTTTAAATGAAATTGCGTGCTATTCAGTATCTATTCCGTAGTTGAATTGAAGTGAAACGATTGTGTTTTGTGTATGAAAAATTATCGTTTGTCTATCAAACATTACTTTTATCAAAGGGAACTGTTATAGTAAATGAGTTTGTTCTATTTGGTTCTTTTTTATTTTAACTTAATGTCAATGTTTTTTTTTTGATATATGTAGCTTAAAATATAAGTTTATTTTAGATAAAAATCTTTTAAATATTGTATTGAACCGATCAATGTACGTGCGAGTTAGATTTTATTTTTTGTCACTAACAAAAAAACTGTAAGGTACCTACTTATAAGGTATCCTAATCTTATTTGCCTATTTGTAGATATACGTAGTGCACTGGGGGTGTACTTTTTAGGATTTCCTTAATAAAGGTTCCTTATTGTTCTTAAAACGTAATGTAATATCTATCTAAAAGTAACTTCATTAAATTGAAGATTTCTTGTACCTATAACAATTTAATTTATAGTTTGGGTAAATCTTATCTTGTTTAAACTTCGCAAATGTATTTTTTTTAATCCGTAAAGAAATCTGTAAAGTTGAACACGTGCGTGTTGCCAATGTTGACAAATGGATCTGAGATGGAATTCGAAATGAGGTTATCTGCAGTAAAACTAGTGTAACTGACGTAGCCTAACGAATCAGTAAGCTAAAGTGACAATAGGCCAGCCATATAGCTCGAAGATTCGACTGTTGTAGATACTCGTAGGTACAACTCCGCCCTTTGCCAGTATGAAAAGAAAAATGCAAATGGACCTTACCACTAGAACAGCCGCAACTTCTTTCAAATACCTAAGTGCATAAAAATTAGAGGATGAAATATCTGTGACAAAACTATTTGTTTTTAATCATTTCAATTAGCATAAAATTTCTGTGAGTTATAGATAACGCTCGTGATTTATTAATATTATAGCGTGAGGTCATATCCATAACGTATCTGGTAGTTAATTAAGTAGGTGATTCGTATGCACTGTCGATGTTTTTATTTATGCATTCTGCCTAGATATTATTTACACAACATTTCAATTCCATATAGGCGTACATTTCAAAGTAAACATAGTATGCCTTATTACTTTTTAGCAAGTTGACGAGTAATTTTAATAAGTATGTTAATTATTACGTGAGTGAAATTTTCAATATTAAAAATAAAAATCTCATTATTTATGAAGCGTGAAACAATTTTCATAATTTTTCTTTCATTTGCCTTAATTTCAATATTATTATATTGTTCTTTTGAAAACTATTCATAAATATTAGTTCTCAAAATAGGTGCAAATAATACACAGTTACTACTACTGGCTTTGTGCGAAAGGTATAAATAACATGTGATACTTTAGTCGAACTACATTATCGTGATATTAAGTATATCACGATAATGTAGTTCGACTAAAGTATTCCATATATAAATTATTATCTAATAATAATTATGTTTAGTATTTGAATTGAATTATAAAATCCAATTCACGATATTATAATGGAAACAACTAGGCACCGTATCTTTACGTGTGAACATATTTAAACGCAGGTATCTGAAACAGGTTTTCATGAGACTTATTTCTCCTTAAGCTTCGATGTGCTTGTTCTTCGCACTGTTTTGAATGTTTGCATTTTAATATGTTTTATTAAAAATAGTTTATACGCTATATATGTTAATAGTTATAGTACTGCCCTCAAAATAAAATATTTAGGTATTAAGATATATCACGGCAATGCGAGATGTACCTAAAAGTGTAAAATAAAAAAATGGTTTTCTTTTTCATTTGTACTTGTGCATCATAGCAGGAATATGGCGTTATAATATGTATTATAAAAAGGGTGTTTAATTAACAAAAAAAAAACATTACCGCCACACTACGATTCGCTCTTGTATCGTGGAGACAGTTGCCATACATAAATTGCACAAACCCGTACATCCAGACCCTGAACAAATTCGTAGACCATACAACATATAATTGTTCCGTGCGCGATTCGAAACCACGGACCTAAGCGCGGCAGTTCAATGTTTAGCCACTGAGCCATGGAGTCGTCGCCGGTTTAATAGTCTAGAATAGAATATTTAGTAGAAGGTTGTGATTAGTAATAACTGGCGTGACTGTTAATTAGAAATAGATACTGTTTCGGAAGTAAAACTATGAACAGTATAAAAATAGATTATCGTTTGAACTTTCGCGGTTGGCCCGGACGGTTGAGTTCGTGTCGCCGACATTTACTGTAATGTGCTTGTAGCTTGTAGCTGAGCAACCGACTATTAAAATATCTGATAACGTGTCACGGCTCTACTCTCTTCTTAATACCTTTACATTATTTTGCATAAGACAAAATAAGGTTAAAAGTGTTTTATAGCACAATAGTTATAGTACAGTAGTTCTATAAACGTTTTATTGCAATGAAAAAAGTTGGGTTAAGATTTTCAAAATATTTTGTAATTCTATATACCTACGCTAACTGCAATGAACAAGCCTTCATTTCATTGTGAGAAAATAAAATAGCAGAGGAGTTTGAAACGCTACTAATGTTGTCGTACTTTATACAATATAAGTATATGTCTATGATCACAAAATAATTTCAATACAAGTGGCGACAAACAGGGCATTAACAGTAGCCAAGCATCAAATAGGTGATACATTCACATTCATAATAAAATTTCTCAGGAATCACAAACAAATTTCTAGACGCACAGTAAACTAGGTACATGTTATATGTGTAGGCTGTTGGTAGAAATGTCTATTTGTACATTTTTGTGCAACGATATTTTATTAAACAATTATAAAATATTAATAGAAATGGTAAGTTAGGGTGCGTAGTACTATTATATATTCTGTGGTTCGGGGCCGTTGAAAACCATATGTTTATAGATGCTATTTTACTTATGCTTTTGTATTCAACTTTGAAGTGATAAATAAATAAATAATAATATTAATTTTCGGTTGGTGCCGTAACATTTTTTACGTAATATTATATTTACAGAATATTGAAACCGACTATCAAATCGTCGAAAAGATCACTGCAGTGATTAATCAAAAATGAATGGGTCCTAAACAGAGAGCCTTCGTTGCAGCTGGTAGCATGCGTCCACCATACTGGATGAGTAATGTCGTGCCATCAGTTAGGCATTGAGGCGCCACTTTGTTTAATTAAAGACATAATTTTACTAACAAAATGTATATTTTAATTATAAACTATCCTCAGTTTTTCATTTTACGACTGTCAATGCAAAACTTTAAATTGTCTAACACTCGTCACTTTTTTACGTCACTGTCACACGTAGTTTATGTTATTAAAACACATACGAGTATATTCCATTTCGAATAGATTTTCATGTCTTAGAACTAATGCATCTTACAAACGATATATATATATATATTTAAGCACTTAAAATATAGTTTTAGCTTGTCAGCAATTAAAATCAAGGAAAATGTGGGGAGTGCTTAGCTTCTAAATTTTAAGCTGTTACTGCTCATCGTTATTACAGCTTTAATACGTTCACTAAAAGTTGTACTTACTTCCGTGTCACACATTTTTAATAAATGGTGTATTTATGACTAAAATTAAACTATATCATTACTGTAGTAATTTTTTTCAGAAACCACGAACTTACGTGTTAAAGGCGATATCTTGCAATGATTTAATAAAAACTCAACTTTTATATAGAATAAAGGCGACAAACGAGCACACAGTCCACCTGATGGTAAGTGAATGCTGTGGCTCATAGACATCTACATTTATCTTCAATTAAGAATCAAAATACAGATGTGTCGTCACTCTTGAGGAGCTGCTATTTTATTCTTTGAGAGCGTGGTTTTTCCCCGGCCGAGCCGACCTGTGCTACAATAATGAATAAAGACGTCTGTCCGTTTATGGAAAATGGTCTGTTTACGAACGTTAAAATAGCTTGTACAATTGCACCTACTTAAAGCTATGCGGTTAGGATAAACTGTTTGCAGAACCGTGGAGATTAGGATTAAGTCACAGTTATATATTAATAACTATGTATTAACAATGACATTGTAGCATAACTTGGGTATGCTTAGGCAGTGAACATTTAACAGCATAATCCATTAGAAAGGTAGTTTGTGTAAACAGTGGGACGGATGTAGGCTGTTACTTTACTTTTCAAAAGTCTAATAACATGCTTCGATGTATTCAGTCTTAGTCTTCAAAGGTGACAATGCATCTATGGCCTTATTGCTTGAAGTAAGTTCTAAGTGTCTATGAGTTGCAGTTAAAACTTGCAAATTAGTCAAATGATCAGCCTTTGTTTTCTGTAGTGTAATAGTTTCTAAATCTTTGACACTGTACAATAATAATACCAGGAGGAAAAATTACTTCTGCATGTATATTTACAGAATTTTTTGTATAATATTCAATAGAAATGAAGAGTTCTTGCATTTCAGAAGTTGTAAATTGTAATGAATTTAATGTATTTTATAAAAAATATAAATAATAAGATTTATATTAAATACCTAAAGCAATTCATAAATCCCCACATTCTTTTTACTGGTGACGAAACTTTCTGTCTTAGTCCTCAGGGGTAGGATCTACATTTTGATTCTTAACGGATATGTGGATGTCTTTATACCGTAGTATTTACTGTTGCAAACAAACACACAATCTCAGGTCTGTGAATGTAAGCTAGTTTGTCATTCTGACTTATATACATATAAAATAGGGCAATACAGTTCGTATCTAATAGTTATCAATTTTTATCTAAAGTTATCTTTTTTTATAGAATAAGGGTGACAAACGAGCACGCAGTCCACCTTATGG